TATATATTTTTTTTCATTACTATTGCTGTTACTCTTTATTTTCTATTTTTTTTTAATTTCTTTTCGTTTACTTATTTGATTGATTTTTNAAATACTTCCGCCTGGAATACAGTACAGTACGTACCCAGGCTGTAGGCTTGCTTAATTCGAGGTGTCTGGCAGTATACTCCTGCTCCTACCCCTTCAGGCGTTTTTGATCCATCTGTGTACAAGCAAATGTCTGCCCGAACCAGAGAATTTTCATTTTCGATCCAGGACTGCCGCTCAGGCAGTACAATCTGGTATCGAGCATTAATCACTGATAGTGATACCGCCAAATCTGACGGCATTGATAGCACAGTATCAGTGCTTATAATGTCTTCCGCAGCCCATTGGTAGGACATGTCGGAACAGTTTTGAGCATATTGCTTAAATCTGTAAATGGTTGTTCTAGCCACTTTCTCTATATGCAAATGCAGAGGAGATAGGCCAAGCAGAACCTCCATTGCTAGAGTTGGCGTTGTGCCTATCGTACCAGAGATTGCCAATCCAGCTACTCGTTGAATTCGTGAAAGTTGACTGATAACTGAAGTCTGTCGGACTTTCCTATACCAGGCTGCTGCTCCGTATGTGATCATAGGTCTAACCACAGTCACATAGAGCCAGTACAGTCTTTCAGGGGTAAGACCCCAATTTTTTCCACAAAGACTGCGACAAGTCCACAAGGATAGTCTAGCTTTGTGCAAAACTCCCTGCAAATGTCCATTCCAACCTGCAGAGGTAGTTTTTGGTCAACCATTACGACTCTCCGGTGAATTTTTTAATCAAATCGTATAGTAATGTTGACACTTATCAAAAGCAAATCTTAGACCGACCACGACGTTTCATCATTCTTCACAAAACAATTTATTAATAATAATAAACACTTATTTGATTCAAATTTTGTCTTTCTTAAATTAGAAGGAAAGACACCTTCCTTGTCACCTAGATATGAAGGCCGTTTTAAATTGCTCAAAAAATTTTGGTGTAATGAATTATAATTAAAAATATAATGTTTCCAAATTCAATTTCTTCTCGATCTCAAAAGATTAAAACTAAAAAGAGTGTAACTTTTTCTTAATTTTACAAGCCTTATCGTTATCTTTTTCTTTTATTGTATTTATCATTTTGGCGGAAGAAGTATCTGTAGCGTAACCGTACAGACCCGCTTCGCTTGATGTCGAAATCTTTTTATTTTATCAAAAAGCTTGAGATAAGTTAGATATTACTATGTGATATTACCTCCAGGTGACCCTAAATACCATTTGCGCTGGGTGTAAGGAAGAGAATCTCTCGATAAACATACAAAAGACAACCGTTGTGCCTTTCACCAGGAGAGGAAAGTTGGATGTACTAATCCGCCCAACTATCCACGGTGAAGAAATTCCTTTCTCAAAGGAAGTCAAATATCTAGACAAAACCCTCTCATGGAATGAACATTTGCAGGAAGTTTTACACTAAACTAGACTATACTTGTGTACTTGTCGTAGTCTTTGTAAAGTCGTTAACGTAGTCTTACCCCTATATTGTATGATGATTTGAATTATAATCATGTACAATCTTCAAATGTTCAACGAGTAGCTGGATTGGCAATCTCTGGTGCGATAAGCACAACGCCAACTCTAGCAATGGATGTTCTGCTTGGCCTATCTCCTTTGCATTTGCATATAGAGAAAGTGGCTAAATTATCATTTACAGATTTAGGCAATATCCTCAAAACTATTCCGACATGTCCTACCAATGGGCTGCGAAAGACGTTATAAGCACTGATACTGTGCTATTAATGCCGTCAGATTTGGCGGGAAGACTATCAGTGATTAATGCTCGATACCAAATTGTACTACCTGAACGGCAGTCCTGGATCGCAAACGAAAACTCTCTAGTTCAGGCGGATATTTGCATGTTCACAGATGGATCAAAAACGCCGGAAGGGGGTTGGGGCAGGAATATACTGCTAGACACCACAGATTAAACAAGCTTACAGCCAGGGGACGAACGTACTGTACTGTATTCAGGCGGAAATATTTACTATTGACATGGATGCTAAAATCCTTCTTGCGAGAGGGGTGAAGAACATGACAGTACGATTTTTCTCAGACAGTCGAGCCGCTCTACAGGCCGTGAAAACGGTGTCAGCTCTGGTTAATGGTTATAAAAGAACTTTAAACACACTGAGTTCTGATAGAGTTTCTCTGATATGGGTCCCAAATAACTCTGGGGTTGCTGGCAATGAAACGGCAGATGATCTAACACGAGGGAGCAGCGCTAAAGCGTTTGAGGGGCCTCAGCCAGCAGTTGGTATATCATTTGCGTTGGCCAAACATAGGATTGGACGGTGGGCTGAAGAGAAACTTCGCCTACTGTGGACCAGTTCTCCTGGAATGAGGCATGCTAAGATGTTTATTAACATCGCCATTGCCAAACCCGGGAATGTTTTAGGACTTGCTCGTAGCAGCATTAAAGTTCTAATCGGTATCTTTACTAGGCTCTGCCGATTAAAAACACACCTCAACTTGTTGGGTCTAGCCGACGATGGTGAATGCCGACTATATGCCTAGAACGAGGAGACGGTCGCCACTGCCCTGATGTTAATCGTATCAGGTTCCCGATTTTTGAATCGCAGTTTATTTCCCCAAAGGATGATGACAATGACTTTTCACCGAACAAGGTATTAATGTATGTTAAGAGCATTGGACTGCACGGTGAAATTTGATAACGTTATCTATTGGATACAGTAGATCCTTAGGGTCGCTGTGCAAGGTTGGTTGGTCCGCCTACCCGATATGTAATTTATGTAAACGTAATATTAAAAAAATGTAATATTAAAAAAAATCAATACATAATATTCCTCCTACCAACACGTTCTAATAATTAAAGATCTCTAAATAATTCTTAATTCAACACTAAATATTATAGTGATACACAAAGACTATAGACGGCTAAACTCGAAGGTTTCTAGTTCTAGGTCTAGTGTTAGTTCTAGTTTTAGTTGTTATTCAGCGCTAGATGGTAGCATATTTTTATTGAACTAATAGTAGAACTGACTAATACAGAAGGCAACAGTAGCTGTCCAAATTTGTGTGCATTAAAATTATTCATTCAAACAGTTTAAAGTGTAAATTAAATATTTTTCATATACCGTAAACGTAGGTGGCTTTGGCCGATTTCTGAAACTTGTTTCTTTCCTCTACCATAAAAAAATTGATGTAAAATTTTCTAATATCAAAGTATATATGACTTATACAGTGTGCTAATTAATTATCGTATCCGACGTCATCATTGCAAGTATGCAACCAATATCACAGTATTGGTATTGCAATACGCGATTTGCGTATGATGCGTATTGCACTGCGATATAGGTTGCATACTTGCAATGATGACGTCGGGTACGATAATTAATTAATACGCTGTACATACTATAAGGAACTTAAAACTATAAATATGAGAAAAAATTGGTCCCTCATATTTTCGTAAATCACTTGAGAATGTTCTTGCATTTACCCTTGCTAGAAGAAAAGTTTTAGACCAAATTCCAGGGATTGAAAATCTAGACCCAAATGTACAGCTTAATATAAGCGTCTCAGTAATAGATCTTCTCAGGACAGAAGGTTTCCTCAACAGACCCAAGGCACTAAGAGGAAATAAGTGAGTGCGCTACCTGGTAGAAGCATTTCCGTTTCGGATATTCAACCAGAAGCGATCGCTGGACCAAGTCAAGTTACGAAAATTTCTTCAGAAAAGGCAAGACGAAGAATTTCCAATGACTCTGAGTCTCCTATAATATTTTCATTTCTTCGGAGATTGAGGACTGTGATCTTGATCTTGATCTGAGGAAGTTGGCGTGGAAGGTCTGACAACACGAAGCAATGACAACAAGACAATTGAACATATTAATAACGGAAACTTTGTTTTATTTTTATATGAAAAGCAAGTTTACCCAGGACAAGTTATTCAAATTAAATTAAAAAATAACAAATCAATGGAAGTGGCCTTCGTCTGAAGATACCAAAGGATGGTATGAAGCTGAAGTAATTTTAGAGGTCGTTAATATACCGCAGCCCTCCAAGAGAGGATTTTTTACAATTAATGAGAGCAATAAATATAATTAAGTTGTTTTTTATTTATAGGTAGGTACCTACCTATTTGGCTTCTTATTCCAACATTTAATTACTTTTGTAAACAATAAAAATGTTATTTTCTTGCATATTTTTTTTGTTTTTTTTTACTACAATGGGCCTTAAAATTATTAAACTATTATTAAAATCTTAATAATAGTTTAAGCTTTGGCCACCACTTTTTTTTTTAAATGGCATTTTTCAAATTACGATAAATTTAATTTTTGGCCTGTTGAAAGTACTATTAGTGGCATATCTCCTGCTGTAAAAAACCAAATAAATATCTTTCTCTTATCGACACTCCCTTTTCCGCATTAATCCGTTATATCGAGGTTTTACTGTATGTTAAAATTTTTTATGAATACAATTTATTAACTTATATTATTATTTAGTTTGAATGATTTATTTATTTCGTCCGAGTTCATACACCAATTCATATGGAAACAACTATTATCAAAGTTGGCAACATTCGGTTGCCTTCGACAATTTGAAAGCAGTAATGATTTAAAATTGGATAGCATGTTACGTATTCGCGACTAATGGTGGTACCATTTTGGCAGCGTTGCATTTGGACGTCCAATTTTCCTGAAAGAAACGTGATCCCGAGGGAGCATACTCGTATAGTATATCGTGGACTAACGTTTAATCTCGACTCAACGAACATTCAGGGAACATTTGCAACATTTCCCCCAGCGCGCAGAGGTAGGTCGGTTTACTCGCTGTAACTAGTGTTGATAAATGTTGCAACGCGCACCAGTCGACGTGTGCGAGGTACGTCAAATAGCGTGATTATCGTGTTGGTTCAGCACAACTAATTTATTTTACTTTTGACAGTTTCAGTAAGAGACCACCAAAAAATCTACTTACAGTAATTGTTTCTTCTTCTTGAGCCTGTGGTGTTAATTCTTGTATGGAATCGCCGCTTCCTCTTCGACTGGGAGCTCCACAGACGGCTCTTCGGAAGGCGCGAGCGACGAGCGAGCAAAGACCGCATTGACGGCGGCCGTCGCTGCCGCCGCGACGCCTCCCGCTGTTATCCGCCGTCAGCTCTCTGCCGCTCCCATCGCGACAGCACGCCACTGCACTGCTTATATCGGCGGCAGCCCTTTGGAGCTTCCCGCCCCCCTTGCAGCTCCGACACCACCCTTAACACCGCGAAAATCTGTTTTACACCAAAGAGGAAAACTTAACACTTAAACGCGCAATTAATTAATTATCACAAAAAATAAGTTCAAAAACTTTTTTCGAAAAAATTTTAAGGTCCGTTGAATTATGATTTTGACGAAGTCGTTGAAGAGTAAAAGTATCTGTGAAATAAATATATTTTTTTTATTGGTTTTATAATGCGTTATTATAAATTATTGTAAAGATATAAATATTACAAGAAACAACAATAATGAATGTTTAGGTATAATAGGGTAATTTTGATACATTTTTGTAAGCTCAGTTTAATAGTTATTGTTAGAATTTATTCAATATCTTCTAAATTTAGCACATTTACTAAAAGTTGAGATACCATGTGTCACATTACATTTTAAACAACATAACCAAGAGATCAAGAAATTCCAAGTGGAGTTAAACAATTATATCACGGGGATTTGCGAGAACCCCAGAGTCTTATCTTACTTAATATTATTTTTTTTTTATTTTGTTTTCACCTGGGAAATTCAATTAAACAAATTTTGCACTTAAAGGTGAAATGTGTTTATTATTACTCTACTGGTTTCGCTCCTTTCGGAGCATCCTCAGGAGTTCGTCAATTCAGTTTTTGACCTTCTAAACATGCTATCTGATATTTTGTTAAAGTAATTCACTATTAAAAATGTAAATGTTAATTCTTAAACATGTGCTATATCATAAAATACCTAATAGCATGTTTAGAATTTCAAAAACTGAGTTGACGAACTCCTGAGGATGCTCCGAAAGGAGCGAAACCAGTAGAGTAATAATAAACACATTTCACCTTTATGTGCAAAATTTGTTTAATTGAATTATCGTACTTAGTTTTTGAGATATGGTTTTTATAAATTGGTATTTACAAACTTAACACTTTGCTGACCGGTGACGTGTTAACTCGTCTTTTTATGCCCAAATGTTGTTGACCGGTGACGAGTTATCTGTTTCAAGTTATGACACCCAAGGCGATATTGAATATTGCAAAAAAATAGCGTATCGTGTTGTCACTTTTCAATAATTTTGAAATAAATTGTAGTGATTCCGACAGTGATAAATCTGACATTATACCACCAAAACGGCAAAAAAGGAATGTTATAGAATCCGATAGTGAAAGTGATTTTGAAGATTGGAATGATATGAAGAAGCTTCTTGGGTTGTTGATATTGATGGGACAAACTAAAAAGCTTGTTGGAGATTACTGGTCAAAGGACTCTTTGGTTGAACCACCAGCAAATCTTTACATTTTTCCATTTCAGTGATAATGTACAAAATGCACCTAGTAGAGTACTTTGTAAAATTGTATTACTTTATTCCAAAAATTCAATCTATGTATGTACGGAAACAACAATTATCACTTGATGAAGCAATGATACCATGGAGAGGACGTCTCAACTTCAAAACATATAACCCGGCAAAGAGTACAAGATACGGTATTTTACTGAGAATGGTTTGTGAAAGTGAGTCTGGGTAAATTTGCAACTTTCAGATTTATTCGGGTGGAGGACAAAAGCTACAAGAAACTATTATCAGTATTGTAACCGTATTTTGGTTATTGGCATCATGTATATCAAGATAATTACTACAACAACGTTTTTACAGCAGGTGTATTATTAGAAAAGAAAATACTTGTATGTAGTACCATACGAGAGAACCGTGGCTTGCCATAAATACTAATAGAAAAGTCTAAGAATTTTGATAGACGGCAAATGACTTTTTTACGGAACATTCTTACATTCTTCTTCCCATATGAAAAGATAAAAGGTAAAAAAAGCGGAGTGTAAGAAAAGCGGAATAAAAATTATACAAATGATAAAGTGAAACCTTCGTGCATAATACAATATAATAAACACATGAAAGGAGTCGACCGTGCAGATCTGTATTTGCGAACAGCAGTATCTATCGAAAAAGTATAAAGTAGTATTCTTTTTCAATTGTATTTTGTTTAATGCATTCAAAATTTACTCTAAAAAGTACAAAACAAACTAACATACAAAAAATTTCTACTAGAAGTAGCTAGCAATGGATTTCACATCACCTGGCGCATTTCTCCTCACACTTCTAAAAGGCACTTCCAGGCTTTCAGGAAAACCAAGCGACCACATTTTAGAACAAATAATCAGTGACGTAAAAGATGACACCCTGTATAAGATACTCTAATACAACAAATGACAATCTATTTGATATCATCTGAAGAATAATCGTGCCAAGTTGAAGCTGTCTTGAATGAATATTGGCTGAGATATGGGTCTTTAAATAGCATGGTGAAATATGTAAAAAAAACTTAAAACCAAAATATCTCGAAAACGAAAAATGCTAGGTACCTACCAGTATCTTTTATCAAAGTCAACATATTTTTTCGCATATAATTAAAAGGTGCAATAAAAACTATAGCATTCCATTTAAAATAACGAAGTTGAGGTCTACTTCCGGGGGAGCGGAAGTGACCACCATCTTGAAACTACTTTAGATCGTAAGATTGATATGAACCTCCCATATAAACTAAATTTTAGACACATAAATGTAATGGAACAGAGAAAAACGGGTGTTGTTAACTTTCTGGCGGACACTGTATAAATAATATGTCCAAAGTTTAATTCTATTTCATTCAGTATAAATAAAATTTATTGGAGTTTATTTAAAACGTTTTACTTTCATATTCAATTTTACAAAAAAATAGTCGGTGACATAACATAGTTTCTGTGTAAAATTGCCGGTCAGCAAAGTGTTAACTTGCCATAAATGGGTATGCAGAGATGTTTCAAAATCTATAGCATAGAAATTTGCAGAAATAAAGAATTAAATTTCGACTCATTTCATATTAATTAAATTTGCTTTAAAATTGTTTTTAGTTGGTGTAGATATCTTAATTCGTTCTTGACATACAATAATCATATTCTATTATTATCAAGTTAACTTATAAAGTTAGGGATTTGCGAGAATGAAGGAATTATATTTGGTGTTTTGAAAGTCGATAATTTTTACCATAACATAAGGTTTGAGATATGCTTTTTTTAAAAGAGTTTCATAAAGAAAGGTTTCTTCAGAAGTTCTCATCGCCTTTTTATCCTTGTCATATGAGCCGTATTTCGATAACCATTTTAACAAATACTCTTATGCTGCTGTTAAATCGTTATATCAGATCAAGGGATAGGGTAAGGTAAAACAGCACTAATTTTACTCTGGGACTAACTACTATACTCGGTAACTAATCTCGTTTAGAATTAGGGTTAGAGGTAAGTAAGTGGAAAGGTACTAATAAGACGACGATTACAATAACTCAATTAAAATGTATGATAAAAATCAATTATTATAATATGCACTCGAAATCATTACATAAACAAAATGGTATTACCGATTATTTCTTTTCTGCAATACTTCATACCAACGCGTGGTCGCAGTAAATAATAATAAACTATTATAAACACAATTGGAAAGAACACATTGATGTAATTTTCTACAATTATAAGGCAGCTGTTAGCGTAGAGGCCAATAACTACGAATTGAGGAAGACCTTTTTATGTGTACAAGTAAATTAATTAAAACTAACTCTTTGTTTGCTTAAAACTAACTTCAACCCCGACAGCAAGCCTCCGTAACGTAGCAACGCTGAGAGAGTCAACAACATCCATGCAGTGAAAACTTGAGGCAAAGTAGTGTTATTTTCGCGCAAGATAGGTTACGACCCGATAAACATGGTGAAGGAATATATAACTACCTTACCACTTTTCCTAGACTTTGCCAACTGGAAATTCTCATACCTCCATAATATACCATAATATATAAAAGCACAACTCAAAATTAACAAAATGCACAACACTTTGCAAATGAGGAAGAGACTTACGAGAAATATGCTTGCATCCAACCCTTTCTGTATCTCAATCTAAACCAGAATACAGTGTGTTAATTAATTATCGTACCCGACAAAGTATGCAACCAATATAAGCATAAGGCAGCAAAAAACGGTTAAAGACCAAAGAAAATACGGAAACTCACCAAGCGTTCGACAATCACAACAATAACGCACGATCAGCTGTCAACATCTGGTTACTAATTTAAAATTATCCAAGCTATGTTTCCGATAATTCTGGTGGTATTTATGACCCTCAGAAACAGTAGTGGCAGTAATTATCACCCCGAAAAAGTACCTAGAGGTAATTTATGACAGGTTCTCTTAGCGAACTAGGTCCAGAGACGCACTTCTTTTTTTATTTTATTTTAAATTCAACAAAATAAAACAGAAATGTAGAAAAGAATATAAATTTAGTTATACTTAAATGCTATTACAGAAAAAAGTAAGTATTAATTAATAATATAAAAATTAAAACATATATTTTTTATAGTTATCTTAGAATTAGTGTGAAAAGATAATAAATTATATAATTATAAACATAAATTATTTAAGCAAATATACTTTTTAGAAAGATTTAAATAAATTATTGTATTTTCATACAAAGTAATGATATTTAAGTTTTTAAATATTATGCTTTTGTAATTTCCGTTAATGTGGACCTGAACAATTTTCTGAACGCCAGAGTTTAGGGTTCGTAAACTACCTGTATGCAGTCATAAAAACCACCAGAAATATCGGAAACTATACCACTACATATTGAGATATGCAGCCAATATTACACAGGTCACGTGGGTTACGATAATTAATTAACACAGCGTACTGTACAAGAAGAGAATTGAGATCTGGTAACAATAATCTAAAATAAATTTAGACTTCTTGGATATCCATTAAAAAAAAATCTCTAAGTTTATAAGTAATCTTCATTCTTTTTATGACTATTTGTAACGATATTTATATTTTATAAATATCGTATACATAAACATCGTAATACAAAGTTCGATGCGGTATGAAAAATGAGACACTAAGCTCACCTTTATTTGATATTTGTTTGATGAATCTTTAATGAATATGAATTGTATGATGTGCGATTAAGATTGTTAACTCCTGTTCTGTTAATCGCTATATATACAGCGATTTTTAGAAAACTTTTGATATAAAATAGTTGACCTTAACATATTAATATAGTAATGAAAAATTGTTTACTATATCTCATAATAAGATATTGGAACCAACAAGGTGTAGAAAGAACGAGACGCAATGTAGACAACGAAATAATTTGTG